ATGATCACCATCGTCACCGGCGCGACACCTTGATCTCCATCGTAGCATCGTTGTCGTCTCGCCAATCTTATGCTTCCACGACTATCACTAACGTTTAGTAATAAAGTAAAGCATTACATCGCGATTGCATTGCATACAATAAAGCGACAACCATATGGCTCCAGCCAGTTGCCGATAACTCGGTTACAAAACATGATCATCTCATACAATAAAATTCAGCATCATGCCTTGACCATATCACATCACAACATGCCCTGCAAAAACAAGTTAGACGTCCTCTACTTTGTTGTTGCATGTTTTACGTGGCTGCTACGGGCTTAAGTAAGAACCAATCTCACCTACGCATCAAAACCACAACGATAGTTTGTCAAATAGACTCCGTTTTAACCTTCGCAAGGACCGGGCGTAGCCATACTTGGTTCAACTAAAGTTGGAGAGACAGTCGCCCGCAAGCCATCTCTGTGCAAAGCACGTCGAGGGAACCGGTCTCGCGTAAGCGTACGCGTAAGGTTGGTCCGGGTCGTCTCGTCCAACAATACCGCCGAACCAAAGTATGACATGCTGGTAGGCAGTATGACTTGTATCGTCCACAACTTACTTGTGTTCTACTCGTGCATATAACATCAACATCAATAACCTAGGCTCGGATGCCACTGTTGGGTTTCGTAGTAATTTCAAAAAATTTCCTACGCGCACACAGGATCATGTGATGCATAGCAACGAGGGGAGAGTGTTGTCTACGTACCTAACGCAGACCGACTGCGGAAGCGATGACACGACGTAGAGGAAGTAGTCGTACGTCTTCACGATCCAACCGATCAAGCACCGAAACTACGGCACCTCCGAGTTCGAGCACACGTTCAGCCCGATGACGATCCCCGGACTCCGATCCAGCAAAGTGTCGGGGAAGAGTTTCGTCAGCACGACGGCGTGGTGACGATCTTGATGAACTACAGCAGCAGGGCTTCGCCTAAACTCCGCTACAGTATTATCGAGGTATATGGTGGCAGGGGGCACCGCACACGGCTAAGGAATCGATCACGTGGATCAACTTGTGTCAACTTGTGTGTTTAGAGGTGCCCCTGCCTCCGTATATAAAGGAGGAGAGGAGGGGAGGCTGGCCGGCCAAGGGGGGGAGGCGCAGGAGAGTCCTACTCCCACTGGGAGTAGGATTCCCCCTCCAATCCTAGTCCAACTAGGATTCCTCGGAGGGGAAAAGAGGAGGAGGGGGCCGGCCACCTCTCCTAGTCCTAATAGGACTAGGGGAAGGGGGGGCGCGCAGCCCATCTAGGGCAGCCCCTTCTCTTTTCCACTAAGGCCCACTATGGCCCAAATAGCTCCCGGGGGGTTTCGGTAACCCTCCCGGTATTCCGGTAAAATCCCGATTTCACCCGGAACACTTCCGATATCCAAATATAGGCTTCCAATATATCAATCTTTACGTCTCGACCATTTCGAGACTCCTCGTCATGTCCGTGATCACATCCGGGACTCCGAACAACCTTCGGTACATCAAAATGCATAAACTCATAATATAACTGTCATCGTAACCTTAAGCGTGCGGACCCTACGGGTTCGAGAACAATGTAGACATGACCGAGACATGTCTCTGGTCAATAACCAATAGCGGGACCTGGATGCCCATATTGGCTCCTACATATTCTACGAAGATCTTTATCGGTCAGACCGCATAACAACATACGTTGTTCCCTTTGTCATCGGTATGTTACTTGCCCGAGATTCGATCGCCGGTATCCAATACCTAGTTCAATCTCGTTACCGGCAAGTCTCTTTACTCGTTCCGTAATACATCATCTCACAACTAACATATTAGTTGTAATGCTTGCAAGGCTTATGTGATGTGTATTACCGAGAGGGCCCAGAGATACCTCTCCGACAATCGGAGTGACAAATCCTAATCTCGAAATACGCCAACCCAACATCGACCATTGGAGACACCTGTAGTACTCCTTTATAATCACTCAGTTACGTTGTGACGTTTGGTAGTACCCAAAGTGTTCCTCCGGTAAACGGGAGTTGCATAATCTCATAGTCATAGGAACATGTATAAGTCATGAAGAAAGCAATAGCAACATACTAAACGATCGGGTGCTAAGCTAATGGAATGGGTCATGTCAATCAGATCATTCTACTAATGATGTGACCTCGTTAATCAAATAACAACTCATTGTTTATGGTTAGGAAACATAACCATCTTTGATTAACGAGCTAGTCAAGTAGAGGCATACTAGTGACACTCTGTTTGTCTATGTATTCACACATGTATTATGTTTCCGGTAAATACAATTCTAGCATGAATAATAAACATTTATCATGATTATAAGGAAATAAATAATAACTTTATTATTGCCTCTAGGGCATATTTCCTTCATACATATCATCATCGAACGTTAAGCGTGCGGACCCTATGGGTTTGAGAACTATGTAGAAATGACCGAGACTCGTCTCCAGTCAATAACCAATGGCGGAACCTGGATGCTCATATTGGTTCCTACATACTCTACGAAGATCTTTATCAGTCAAACCGCATAATAATATACGTTGTTCCCTTTGTCATCGGTATGTTACTTGCCCGAGATTCGATCGTCGGTATCATCATACCTAGTTCAATCTCGTTACAGGTAAGTCTCTTTACTTGTTCCGTAATGCATCATCCCATGACTAACTCATTAGTCACATTGCTGGCAAGGCTCATAGTGATGTGTATTACTGAGAGGGCCCAAAGATACCTCTCCGACAATCAGAGTGACAAATCCTAATCTCGATCTATGCCAGCTCAACAAACACAATTGGAGACACCTGTGGAGCATATTTATAATCACCCAGTTATATTGTGACATTTGATACCACACTAAGTGTTCCTTAGGTATTTGGGAGTTGCATAATCTCATAGTCATAGGAACATGTATAAGTTATGGAGAAAGCAATAGCAATAAACTAAACAATCATAGTGCTAAGCTAACGGATGGGACTTTTCCATCACATCATTCTCTAATGATGTGATTCCGTTCATCAAATGACAACACATGTCTATGGTTAGGAAACATAACCATCTTTGATTAATGAGCTAGTCAAGTAGAGGCATACTATGGACACTATGTTTTGTCTATGTATTCACACATGTACTAAGTTTCCGGTTAATACAATTATAGAATGAATAATAAACATTTACCATGATATAAGGAAATATAAATAACAACTGCCTCTAGGGCATATTTCCTTCACTTTGTTCTTAGTCTGAGATTTTCTTTGGGGGGGGGGGATTACGAACTGGTGCTTCTTTGTACCTTTTATTGTAGTAAGTATGTACTATCTGATCAAGTGTACTAGTACTGTCATTCTTAGTTTGCAAGTGTGTGCTGATGCTTCTTAACTTTTTCTGTTGTAGTACTTGTTAATCTTCTAGCAGCTACATATGAATGAGAATAGTACATGAAGTACTAAGAATTTCTGCTTCAACTTTTGAAGTTTTGTTAAGCAACTCAAATTGTACTGATTGTTTTCAATGTTATGTGTTCTATACAATACTGAATCGAAACTACACATGGAACATCTTTGCGTGATTAGTTGCTTCATAACTAGTACTGAAGAGCAGCCACAAAGTTCCATTCAGAAGCTACTTTGAATTTTAAATGATGGATTAACAAAATACGAAGCTACCAAACTTATATAATGAGATAAGCAAAAGAATGTACTTGATGACATAAGTAAACTTGTTCAACCATGACAAGCACAACATAAGCATACTGGTTCAACCCAACAAGAGCAAACTATGATTTTGAAACAACAAGATAAAAGGCAAGCACAAGTGGACACAAAACGAAGGCAGGCTTTGATGTATCTTCATCCCTAATAGGGGCAGTGGAAGTCGGGGTCAGCCTCCTGCACTTTTGAAATTTCCCAACCATTTGTGATGTTGTCGATTATGTTCCATGACTTGTACATGGCGTACACATCTACTCATGCATACTCGATGAGGTTGTATTGCAGCGGGCTGATCCCCCACAGTTTGTGGTCTTCCTGCGTGTTGATGTTCTTCTTCATGCCTTTGTAGAATGGGTGGATGACGTTGGCTGCAACATCAGTCAAGGAGTCGTACTCTTTTCCGGTGTATGGAACTCTCCAGATGCGCTGAATGTCGATGTACTTGTTGGGGTTGATCTTCAAACCATACATCTTCAGCCTCTCTTTATTTCCTTCAATGTTGAAATCGGCAAATGTGAACAACTTCTCATACTTCAGCATCTCATTGAGGCGCTTGGGCCTGCAAGGGGAGAGACATTTTGAAGATTAGCATTACTTTGATGTTTGAATTCTTCATTTTTGTTTTGTTTTACAAGCGATGAATCCATGAAGTAGATGCTTATATAGCATAATTAATGTATGAATGTACTTCAGAAACTAATAAACAAAGTTTTGCAATTAAATTCAAGTACATCATGTTACTTTTCTTTTTGGATTATACATAGTTTGAGTTAATGTTGTATGTGCTGATTTAGTACTTGTTTAGTTTACTTTTGTTGAATAGGACTAGGACAACACATAACCAGTGCTTCGCCAAGTTCTTAGTTTTTTTCTTATGAAAATAACATTAGACCAAATTCAGAAACTACTTCACTACATCAAGTTCGGAAACATCTTTTTAATACATCGAGTACAGAAACTACACTATCGGATCAAGATCAGAAACTACAATAGTACATCAAGTTCAGAAATTAATCTTTTGCGAGATTTTTCAAATAGTAATCTAGTGCATCAGGTTCAAAAATACATTTGTAGTGTATCTACTTGAGAAAATGCAGTAGTGCATCCACTTTCACAAACCACACTAGTACATCTAGTTGGGAAACAAGTTTGATGAAATTTTTAGATACAGTACTAATTAAACAGATGAACAAAACAGGGAAAATGAGTAGGATAGGTCACCATTTTGTGGCCGCTGCGATCTGGTACACCAAGCAGAGTTCCTCCACGCACAACTATAGGACTGCTGCCATCTGGGGAGGTTCTTCTTCCCTGGTGTACCGCACACCAACGCCAACGATCCTACGAATCAAGCCGCCAGCCCTCCTCCAGAGCCTGGAGATCATCTTGCCGGCCTTGTCTGGTTCGCTGGTGCAGATGATCTCCAGCGTCTCCTTGCCGTGGAGATCAACCCCTGTGAGGGTTTTGGTGTACTCGCGCTTCTCACTGGGGACGTGAACGTTGTCGAGGATGCTGCTCTTGTCGGACGTCTCACCATGATGACGCTTGGCGGACGGTTCCTCCGCCATTTCCCTCCTTCGGTGACTGTGGGCTTGGGAGAGAGAAGTTTATGGTTTGTCTGCAGTGGAGATGGAAGCGGCAATGGTGGTTCTGGGAATGAGGAAGAGATGGAAGGCAATGGGTTATTCCCAGTGTGTGGACGGGGATGTGTGGGAGGTGGTTCATCGGGGACGTGGGTGTAGTGGTCGTGGGGTCGCCGTTTGCAGTCCCTTGTGGCAACCGCCCAGTGGGTGGCGCGGGCGGTGGCCTGGAAGAACCAACCGTCCAAGACAATTTATTTGCCAGGGTATTAATCTGGTCGCACTGATCCGTCTTGTCAAGCTATACTCATCAACTGCTTATCCCACTTGCACGTGTCAGGGTTGGTGATGATGGAGGTTTTGTACTCCTCTACTGTGGGTACTTGGACTGGTGATTGAAGTGTAATTGAACTTACCAAATACCAGTTAGACTATGTATGTCATGCTAATCTTTTTTGAAACAATTTTTTTGAAAGGATTGTTTATATCAGCATAATCTTTGAAAGTATTTTTTCAGATAAATTAGTTTATCATCAGTATAGGTGTATTATATTTGCATTTGCTTGAGGTAATTATTTTTATGTACTGATGGACTTTCTGAACTAGGACTGGCAGAACCAGGCATAGCTTGTTTTTGCTGAGTTACTGGTCGACAGTAGTGTTCACGGGTGTGTTTGGTTACTCTGCCTTGTACTGACGAGTGAGAATTATCAGTATTGATGTACTATAAGAGTTTAAATTTTCCTTAACATATTTTTGCTGAGTTACTGGTCGACAGTAGTGTTGGCGTTACATAAATGCAGATAAGTTTTTTCAAATATATTTGTGACTGCATTCAAAATGATTAACAAATGGTTTACATAATAATGTCACTGGTCCAGCAGGCACAAATCACAAATTATATCTTGACTATAGTACTGATCGAGAAATTGATGATAAAGCTAAATAAGTTTTGGTAACGTTAGTGTTTCTGATATGTTTCCTCATTGTGTACCGAGGCAACTGAGTGTACAAGCTTATTTTTCAGTTGAGGCAGCAGCATAACCACTATGGATTCTTCAATCTTGAGCTCCTCCTAACTGGCCCCGAAGTTGTCCCTTGTCGGCGCCCTTTCCTGGTTGAGCCTTGGCAGCTTCATCATCAGTTTCAGTTTCCTTGTCCCCAGTACTGTCATCTTCATTGTCTTCGTCTAATTGGTCGTCATTCTCTTCAAACTCTTCTTATTCATCCTCTTCTTTTGATTTTTTGGAACTCTGGACCTTGCCATGTTTTTGTTCAGCGCCACTGACCTGCTTGCCACTTTGCATGTGCGGGCATTATGTCCATCAGTTCCCCCACACTTGCGGCAAGTGTAGCTGTTACGTGTGTCGTCTCCATTGGTAGAAACCTGGGCAGCTCCAATCTGCTTCTGCAGATCTCGCTTGTTGATAATGGCATCTGTGCAGAGTGGGCATGTGCGGTAATTATGATTGGTCATGACGTTGCAGAATCCGCATGCCCTTATCCTGAGAGGTTTGTCATACAGGCCAAATTCCATGCGCCTGATGGGGCGTGGCAGCTTTTTGGCTGCTGCTTTCGCTGCTTGCGTCTTACTCTTCCTCCCCTTTGTGTTTGAGAATATTGGTGGTTTAATTACCCTTTCCTGCTGCTGGTGGTAGGATGTCCTATTGTCATGCCGTTCGCCTATAGCACCATCAAGCTCATGATCTTGCACGTGAGCATGTTGCTACTCTTGAGTGTTTACATGGGCAAGCTCTGGTTGTTGTTGCTCCTCTTCCTCGTTGTCGAATGGGTCAATAGCTCCTAGATGGTTCATCTCGGATAAGATTGTAGCAATATCCTGCTCAATGGCTTCATTGTCCGCAAGACCTCCGTTTTCAGCAGAATGCATGGCGTCGAGTTCTTGTTCAAGTTTGTCCATGACAACCTGTGACCTCGCCATTTGCTCTTGGCTTCTCAAGCTTTTTTTGTGCACCCTCATGTTCAGCTGCAGAAGTGAGCTTTCAATGCAGTACTGGGAGGCCTTGTTTGACGCTACTGTCCTCAAGTCATTTCTGTTGAATGTTGGCTGGATGTTCGGGCATTTGGTGCATCATACACAGGACATGCACGTAGAAAATACCTGTATTTTTTGGAAGAGGTGCATGTTTTTTGTCATTTCATTCGAACAAAAACTTTGCAAAAATCAGTAGTACAATATGTAACATCTTTTTTAGTCCTCACCTGTGTGGTCCCATAGCTTGCACTCACAGTCATATATTTCTCCCACGGGGTCTGCAACCACCTAGAACGCGTGCTGAGAGCACGCATACAGTTTTTGCGGGTTGTTGTAGCGCACGAGGTACTTTGTGGGCTCTTCCATCTCTGTCACAATGAAGAGTGTGCTCAGTTTTAGCCTTTTTCTGATCTTGCTGTACACATCCCGTGAGTAAAGCTTTGTCATCTGGGTGTCGAACCCATAGAAGGTCAGTGTGTTTTGTTCCTTCTGCCCATGCAAGAATGATGACCAAATTATTAGTTTTCTTGCAGCAAAAACTTGTCTAACTAATAAAGTTTTACTTTAGTAAGCATGTTATTTTTGTCTTATGACAAGTGATAGAGCTATACTCGGTTACCCATTGTCTCCTGGTTCTTTGTCTGCCTCCTGGTTTTGACGCAGGAGTTTACCTGGCTGAAAAACCGGTGGAGGTTTTGTCTCTCACTTACGAAGTTCTTCTTGAGCACATAGTTCATGCTCTCACTTTGTTGTGTGGATGTCATTTTGGCGTAGAAAATTTCTTTGAAGTAAGCTTATATCCATCTCTCACGCTCGTTCCACATGGCCACCATCGTGGCATCATCATGGAGGTTGTACTTATCCATAAGTCCTTTTCAGGCAGCCTCAAACTCAGTTGGCATGAGGGGCCAGTTGAGGATTGATGTGAATTCATCCTTAAAGTCTTTGTGGAGGTTGTACATGTATGAGAGGTGTTCCTTGTGCTTCTTATACAAAGAGACGTGGAGGTTCTACAGGTATGCGATGTGAATTCAGCTTGTGTACTTTGTTCCTGAAAGCATCTGGGATCGCCAACACCATTGTCGAGCACTGGTCTAATGAGAAAAGAGATGTGGAGTGGTCAGCAGATGGTGGTGCATATATACAAATAGAACTGACACAACATTTTTACTGTGTTATTTTCCTTTTGGGGTTGGTTGGGGTGGTTTTGGCGGTTGTACCTGTGAGGATGCATGTAGGAGCCTTCCCTCTCATGCACCTTAAAATGTCTTGAACGGCCATCTGAATGAATCTGCATCCTCATCTCTTATCAGGGAGAAACCAAAGAATGTAGTATGTAAGTGGTTGTTAGTATCCACAAACACCCCAAGTGGCATATGGTACTTGTTGGTCTTATATGTGGTGTCAAATGTTACGCAGTCACCAAAGTCCTGATACGCCCCTCGGCAACTTGTGTTTGCCCTGAATATGTTATTAACTCTGTCGGACTCATCAAGTTGCATGTCACAGAAGAATTCCCTGTTTATAGCTTTCATCTCCCTAAAGAAGTTGACAGTCTTTAGGACATCGTCCACATCATCCATCCTCGAATTCTTTGCTTTGTTGCATATTAAAGGTGAATAGTCATTCAAAAATGCATGTTGAACTAGCGTCAGGTCATGCATTGCGTAATATGTTTGTATTGACAGAGGAAAAAAGAAGGGGGGTTATGGGAGGAGAACAAGTTTGTACTTATACGTTAATCAGGTCTTTGGCATTCATTTTGAGGAAGTAGCTACCGGGGTCATCGCCACCCAGTATGCTCATGATTTGCGCGTGTTCAATGCCTTAGAACTCTAGGTACTTGACGTACTCCAAGATTGTTTTCTCGAAGTTTTTGTGGGAGTGCAAGAAGACAAGCATTTGGGGGAGAGTGGTAGCCTGTGGTTGTGTTCCCAGACTATCTCTTTTACAACAAGTGTTCCATCCTTTTCCCTCTTCAGCCTCATTTTAGCCCCGCAGTTAGTCCTAGCTGTCGTCTTGTTCTGTTGTCTATTTGCTTCTGACATCTTCAATGCATAGACTCCATAGCACGTGCAATAAAGGTAGACTCTGGTCTCAACCTTGGAGCCTTCCTTGAAAACAACTTTGCATAGACGTTGTAGAAGTCCTTTGCTTCTTTGAAAGTTTCAAAGCGCGTCTCTAGGCTTGGCAGGACGTAAGCTTCAATGTTAGGTGGCTGCACGCAACAGTGAGCAAACAAAAACGCAGTTATGAAAATGTTAGATGGGGTGGTCACAGTACCAGGGTATGGACTGTGCTTGTATGTTTTTTCTGAATGGATACTTACATGTGTATAGCTCTATGCTGCCTCCGGTGTTTGTTGTTCACCCTGGTGTATGGGCGCGGGTGGTGTCACCCTTGGCACATGCAGCAATGCATGTCTTGGAGGGAGCAATTTTGATGAAGCTCTCCGTCTCTCATTGTACGGTCATATCCCCTCAGATTCGTTGTGAGGTTGCTCATGTCTATGTGGCTCATATCTTCTACTTTGCACCCTGCTAGAGTGGCCAAAATTTCTGTCTCCTTGGCCTGGTCTTCCCGTCGCAACCGCTTTTGCAGCACGGATGATTGATGTTGAAGAAGCGACTGGTGGAAGCATGTGTGTCCTTGCCTTTCTGCATGCGCTAGGGAAGGAAAACATTTGTTGTTGGGGAAATTGTTGACCTTGTTACAATCTAGCAGTGGCAAAGATTGTATTCCCAGATATCGGTGTTTGCTGCATAGAGGAACCTGTCCGTGCTTCTGATGACTCTGGGATAGCTTGAAATCTTCATGTATTGTTGAAGTATCCAGGTGCTATTTCTGGTGTTACCCAACCAGGCGGTGCCCCATATCTGCTTGGCTCATCAAACCCTTGCTGCGTGTGACGCCTTGCATATTTCTGCAATGGCATTCAACAGTTTTGGGATTAATCTTTTCTGCATTTTATTGTGTACATGTTATGGGTAAC